TTTACAGAGTAACCTTCCTGCAGCCCCGGTGCTGATCAGCCATTCCCCGTTGCCTCCAGAACACTGGTGTCTATTCACCATTCATTCACCTGGTCTCGGGGGCGGATTCTGAGGGCAGCCAAGTAAAGCGCCAAACGAGTCCACCTCAGGCTCTGCAAATATCTTATGCAAGTTTAAGGAGTCTGAAAAGAAGTTTTATGGCTCAGCTCCACTGGAGGCCCAGAAAGAGGGGGGTGGGGGTAGGGACAATCCAGCCATTCTCTCAGCCCATGTGAGACATCAACTGAAGGGAAAATACTAAGAAACTTAAACTGGAACCACATAAGGTCAGAAAAGTAATCAATTAATTTTCAGAAAAAACTCTTTCTGCTTGACTTTTTTCCTGGTCTCCTCGTAGGCCATGGGGACACCTTCCCCCATCCCCAAAGAAAGGCTCTGTCACTCTTGGTCAATAAAGGAGCCCCCAGCCCAGGCCTATGAGGCTGACCTCAGAGGGAACAGGACGTGCACCAGGTGGAGGTGGGAGCGAGTGCTCTGCTCTGGGGCTGACACTGTGCGTTCCAGTACAGGGAACAACAGGTCGAGAGACTGGAAGAACAGGCTAGAACTGCAGTCTGTGGGGCCCTGAACACCATGCTAAGGATTTGGGAATTTCTCCTTAAGGTCGGTGGAGATATTGGAGGGTTTTCACCCCATTTTTTCTTTTTTTTAAAAATTTACCTTTATTGTTGAAAGTATTACAGATATCCCCATTTCTTTTTAAAGAATTATTATGCTGTAATTAAGAATTATTTGGTAGTTATTTATCATTATGTGATAAACATTATAAAAACAGATTAGCAAACCTCCTAATCAGATAGAAATAAGAGCCCCCAAATGAACAAGCCATAATCATACTCCACAGAGCTAACTACTGGAAACATTTTGGAGAATGGTCTCTCTCTATAGGCTTATTAAAACAAAAATGGATAATACTTCACACATGGTTTTATAATCTGATTTTTTTCACTAAACATTATAAAATAAATGTCTTTATGTATTATTCTACTACATAGTTATTTTCAATGTTTTCCCAACAGAACATTCCTGAGGGAGCTGACGCCCTCTCATGAGTAACAGGGATTGAGTAACTAAGATTTTTAAGGATGGGCACTCCCCTTTAGAATTACTGGTCTCTAATACCATTTAGATAGTTGAGCTGTATTTATTGGACATTTCAATTGTTTCTAATCTCACACACTTGCCAATAATGCTTCAGTAAAAAGATTTGAATTTATAGTTTTGTATACTTACCTGATTAAATTCTTTAAAATAAAGTCTTTGAAATTCAGTTGCTGGGTCAAAGACTCTCCCCTCTTTATCTGTAATTTTTATATTTAAAAAACAAGGTTGGTCATTCTGATGTCAACTGAGCTAGTGCCCCTTGGCTTTTCGATCTTGGTATTACTAGTTCAGACCTGATTATTTTCAATCTTTATAACCTTTGTCAACCTGCTGACAAAAAGTCTATTACCTTGCTTTTTAAATTTGTATCTATTTGATCACTAAGGTTAAATTTTTTCATATGGCTATTGGCCATTTATACTTCGAGAATATATACTTCTTTTGAGAATTGTCCATCCATGTACATTGCTCATTTGCCCTTTTAAAGAAATGATTTTCTTCTGCCCTTATGCAACCTAAAGTGACCTCTGAAAATGGCTCACTATTCACTTGACCCAGAAAACCCCACAAAATCATGCAAATCAAAAGGTTCAAATCTTTGTGTTCACTTTAAAAATACTCGTGAAAGTGCCCAGGCCATCCAAGGGTATGCGTATCCGAAAAGCCAGCAAGTATGTGAAGGATGTCACTTTACAGAAGCAATGCGTGCCATTCTGTCACTACAATGGTAGAGTTAGTAGGTGTGCCCAGGCCAAACAGTGGGACTGGATGCAGGGTTGGTGGCCGCAAAAAGAATGCTAAATTTTTGCTGCACATGCTTAAAAATGCAGAGAGTTATGATGAACTTAAAGAGTTTAGATGTAGATTATCTGGTCATTGAGCACATTCAGGTGAACAAAGCTCCCAATATGAGTGCAGAGCTTAGAGCACATGGGCAGAATAACCCACACGAGCTCCCCTTGCCACATGGAGATGATCCTACTGAAAAAGAGCAGATTGTTTGTTCCTAAGCCAGGAGAGGAGGCTGCACAGAAGCAAAAGACATCCCAGAAGAAACTGAAGAAACAAAAACGTATGGACTCAGAGTAAATTCTGCAAAAAATGCTAATGCAAAAAGTTTTTATCTTATTACCAAAGTACTCCATGTTTATTGTAAAAACATCTGAATCAGTTGAAAAAGCCATCCACAATCTTGTAACCCAGAGATAACCAATGTCAATAGTTTTTTTTTTCTTCAATTTCTTGATTTTTAGAGAGGAAGAGGAGGGGAGAGAGGGAGAGAGATCAATGTGAGAAACATTGATTGGTTGCCTCCCGCACACGCCCTGACAGGGGACTGAACCCACAACCTAGGGATGTGCCCTGACCTGGAGTCAAACTCACCCCCTTTTGGTGTATGGGACGACACCAACCAAATGAGCCACACCGGCAAGGGCCCAATGTGTATAATGGTTCTGAGTAAGGACTTTTTCTATGCATGTGCGTGCATGTGTAGATGCATGTATTGCAAAAATGGACTTACACAGATACGGGTTTTACACGTATTTGTGAACGCCTCAGCTTGCTGATAAGTACATAGCTACATCATTTGGAATGATTCATGGATGCTCCATTTTTTTCAACTTTTGACCATTTGGTAGTAAATCTTTATGTCGGTGTCCACTTCTTTTCTTAGTGGAATCAGATTGAAGTGATTTCCACATCCTTATTAACCAGCTTTGGCTTTCTCAGTTTCCCTTTAAACTTTATTCTAGGATACAGTTTTATATTTTTATTTTAAAGTAAAATTCATATTGATTTTCATATATTGAACCAGCCTTGCATTCTGAAGATAAAGTCCACTTGGTTGTGGCATGTTTTTATCTGGTTTGGTATCAGGGTAATGTTGGCTTTACAAAATAACTGGGGTTGAGCTCTGGAAAAAATTATAAAATTATTCATAAACAACTTTACGGGGTCACATATTCTATCTCCTCCTCCTCCCTCTCCCCAATCTGCCCAGTATGCCCCAGTTCCCCAGGACTCTCCTTTTTCATCCTGACCAGAAATCTGGGGCTTTGATTACCACACCCTGCCATACTCTTCCATAGCTTGTGCTCACATCCAAGGCTAAGCACTGAGTTTCCCTCTGGAGGGAGAAATATGGCAAACTTTGTTTGATGACACTTCATTTGTGATCTTCTCCGGTCTCCCTGCCTCTAATTACATTTCAGAGTCCTCAAATTGCTGCTCTAAGCATTTTATCCAGATTTTATCGTTGCATTCAGAGGGAGAGGCAGGGAAGAGGGTGTTACTTCATCTTATGCAGAACTGAAACTCATACATTGGGTTTCAATGAATAATTTAGTTGCAGCTCCCTTTCTACTTTACCATATACTAAGTCCTCTGCTTTTCATCTCTTTTGATGCACACTAAGATTTCTTAAAAAGAAAAAAAACTAAGAACTTATGCAATTAAGAATTTTGCCATCTAGAAAGTCTTACTTTCCGTTTAGCCCATCTTTGTTGTCAACTCCCACAGCCTTTTCTTCTGTATCTAACCAAAGAGCAGACAGGACAGGCAGGCTGCTCCAATGTTACAAGATTTTCAGGAGATAGGTTCTGGTCTCTACTCTGAAATAAAGGACTCTTTAAAGCTGTAGCTTGCTTGAATTTCAGGCCTCCTTTCTGACATTTCTCTGGAAACAGTCAATGAAGGAAGTGCAAGTGTTTCTTTATGACTGTCCTTTACATTAAACGTGCATAACATCAATTATACTAGTGTAGGAAACACCTGATCACAGGACTGAAGAATTTTGGAATTCAAAGTAGTTGGAGGTTCTCTGTGCCTCAGTTTAAGAGATGTAGCTGTACTCTAAAACTGGGAGAGTTCATGGGCAAAATGGCCAGCATAGGAGATGTAATACAACTAAATGCCCACAGGGTCAGCCTGGTAGGCAAAACAGGGAACATGGGAGAAGGCTGTGGTCAACTGTCCAGAGAGAGGAAGGATGAGGGAAAGAGACAGAAACATCAATGATGGAAGAGTCATTGATCGGCTGCCTCCTGCACGCCCCCCGCTGGGGATTAAGCCCGAAACCCGGGATGTGCCCTGACTAGGAATCAAACCTCGATCTCCTGGATCCTAGGCCGAGGCTCAACTGCTGAGCCACACCGGCGGGGCGAGGCTTTGCTTCAAAATTACCCTCTAGAGGGAGTGGCTACTACACTCAGCTTTAGCTAATTATCATGTAGTAACACACGTCCTGTGTCATCAGATCTGTCAATTTTTCAAGAGAAGTCAAATTAGGATTTTTGTGTGTGAAATCTTTAGTACTGGCTCAGTTTCTAACAGAGTTTGGGCCAAATAACACGTAGCTACATCCTGGATATAGTACAAAGGTTATCCTTTCTGGCTTCTGGCTCAAGTGAAAAGGTTAAAATGCAGAGCAAAGGACATGGGATTCTTTTTATTTTCCCATCCTCACTTAACCACTGACCTTAGAAGGAGATACAGCTTTGTAAGTTCTTTAGAATAAAGGGTGAGAAAGACTGATGGGGAAGCTTTTGGGGTAGACCAAATCTGGGATACTTAAATTCTACTTGCATGCCATGTCTTGAGCATTTAAATTCTACAGAGGGCTGGTTAAAAACACATCTGTAGGAGATACATGGCATAAAGATTAAAAGCTCAGGCTTTTAAGCCCAGAACTCTCCAAGTATGCAGCTCTCTGATGACCTGACCCTATTCAAGAGACTATACTGAACCAATACAGTACTGAAAATTATAAAGTTTTCTGCAAGTTATGTGCTCAGGCAACAAACATTTGTCAAGAATAACAAGATGTAACTACCCAATACTTTTAAATATGGTTTTACTAGAGCATAAGTCATTTCAAAGCAAAAGTAGTTTATGTCAATTATAACATATAATACATTTAAGTCATAATATGAATTTAAGTTTTTATTTGTGTATTTCACTGTAGTGCTGTGACAACAAACTGACACTGTGTACCAGAGCATACACACACCAACAGCAAGGTGTAACTTTCATTACACCACTGCTAGAATATTTAGCTTTTCGTAGGACACATAAGCATGTAAGATGGCCACACCAAATAATTTTCTGGGGTTTTTTCCCTTAGATAATCTTAATTTTTTTTAAATCAGTAATACTTTTATCAATCTCACTGTTAATAGAACTGTAAATTATCTGGGTGATAGGGTATGGGGGCAGGGGGAAGAAATCATTCAATTGTGTTACACTGTAATAGTCGCTAGAGTAATCTCACACACACCAACAAGGAACTGTCGTCATAATTAAGGGCTAGTTACTGTTGTTAGTTGCACAATGATAAAGTTCTTTTCAAAATATTGGTTAGCCCACTTATAGTATGAAAAAATGCCCTCTCCACTTATGCAGAAGAAAAAAATATTCAGAAAGTTATTTTTGGCCTTGCTATGTCAAAAAGTCAACTGTACAAAGATCTACGTGTCAAACCTAAAATTATAATTTTAAAAGTCTATTAAAAACAAAAATGTCATGCATTTTTATTAATTATGCAGAGGCTTTAAAACTGTTGCAAGACCATATAGTATATATTAGCTTTTATACTGCTAATGCACAACTAACAGCAAACTTGATTAGATGAACAGAAATCTGTCTTAATTACACCTTTATATATCACACTAGAGAGACAAATGCCACAAGATCTGCAGAAACATTCAGTTCTGAGCACTTAAATGGCAGGGTAACTTTTTGAGTTGTAATCCATCACATACAGAATAACAAAATAAAAGGAAAAAATTCCGCAGCCTCACATTACAAGAAAATGTACTGCTATAAAATATTAAGGAGTAAAGGATATCATCTATAACACAAACAACTAGTGTCAAAAAACAAACAAAACCTCTAAATAAAATCTCAAAATACACATAGCAACTGAAGCACAAATACTGCATTAAATACAGTAAAGATTTAATAAGACTAATTAATAAAAGACACAAAAATAGGAGGAACTAGGGCAATGAGTAAATAAAACCAAAATAATGGGGGGGAAATCTGAACCATTGTTTCCCCCCTAGTTGGAGCACAATTTTTGGGGGGTGTCTTTCCATTCATATAACACCTAACACTGTACACGAAGATTTTAATGTCACAGAAAAACTTGGTTCTCCCATGAAATTCTTGATAAATTTTTTGTAGACATTATTATGAGTGAAAAACAGCCAATGAATGGGCACCTATTATTTTTAACACTGCAGATTTACAGAAACTTTTTAAAAGTTATCATAATCTTTTTTGTCTTTTTTCCCCTCAGCTTCAAATCCATCAACTCCATCACTATCCCTTCTTCGTTTCCTGTTGTTGTGGATGTTAAAACGTTGGCTCATTTGGGGTAATGGGTCCATGCCTAGAACTTTGTGTATCTGGCGGAATGCAAGGAGTCTCAATGCAAACTGCAACAAAAAGAGTCAGAATTTAGAATTAATTTTAAAAACCAAAATAATAATTCTTATTAGGTTTATACCTCCATATGTAAAAAAGCCTGTTTAATGAAAGAAATACCTTGAACAATATTAGTTTCATAACTGAAACTAATTCACCCACCCAGTCAATGACTGAGGAACATTTGGGATGTTTCCACTTTCTCGCTATTATGCATAGTGCTGTTATGTACATTCATGTACAAGTTTTTGTGTGGCACGTTTTCAGTTCTCTTGGGTATATACCTAGGAGTGAAACTTTTTCAAAATGGCTGCTGTTTAGACTATTTTTAGCCCCTCTGTATTTTCTTAAGCTGAGATAATACATTTAGTACATTTCTGACATTAAAAAGAAAAGCTATAGCAGTTTTAGATTAATTTTTTCATTCATTATTCATTCATTCATTCATTCATTCATTCATTCGGTTCACATATTTTTTCCTTTTCCATAATTCTTCTTCTAATAGGACTTATAGCTGATAATGATGACGACGACAGCCAACATAAAGCTGGACAGTGAAAGCTGATAGGGAAAAAATTAATTCATTGGAAACATGGTGTTGGAGGAGAGCTCTATGGATACCTTGGAGCACCAGAAAGATAAGTAAGTGGGTCCCAGAGCAAATTAAGCCTGAAACACCACTGGAGGCAAAATTGACAAAACTGAAGGTGTCCTAATTTGGGTGCACATGAGGAGGCAAGAGGGAGAGAAAGACAAAATAAGAGATGGACTGATTCCATAAAAGAAGCCATAGGCATGAGTTTACAAGAGCTAAGCTGGACTGTTGAGGACAGGACACTGTGGACATCACTTACACAGTTACCAGGAGTCAGAGCTGACTCAATGGCACATAACACACACATTATAGTTACACATACTAACTCGTTTAATCCTCCTAACAACCCTGCCTGAGACAGATGCTGCTTTTATCCCCATTTTACAGATGAGATGGCAGAGCTTGTATTCAAACCCAGGGAGTCTTGACTCCAGGGCCCATGCTTTTAATTGCCACATTAAACAGAGAGGAGAGGCTAAATTACAACAATAATTACCATAAACCACACAGCACACCACTTCTATACAACCAGGTGAGATAGTTTCTCTACTGATTTTGATATATAACCTAATACTCAGATTTAATGAGACACTGAAAATACTTTTTTATTTTTATATTTATATAATACACTTAAACACACACACAGTTAACATAGTAAAATTCCAGATTATATTAGTGAATCTAGTTTAAGTTATAATCTCTTTAGGGGCTTATTAAAGCAGAAGAATGAATACTATACAGTATTTCTTCTAAAGGACAACTATAAAAAACAAAACCTTAATTAAAGGCAGTGACTCAACAAAGCTTTGGGATTAAGAACACACTTTTACCTGTGCACTGGATGTGATGTCCTCACGCTGCTGGTCAGTCATTGTTGCCAAGGTATCAAAAGGATCCTTCTCACAAGGATCCAGAAGTCCAGGACTACCTACAGCAATCACCACAGTGAGAGAAAAAATTAGTTTTTTGTAAAAGAAAAGAGAGTTTTTATTCAATTATCAAACACAAGCATTAAAAATGAAGTAAAACTTACCTTTCAGAATAATTCCTGAAGAAATGCACTCAAACACTCTTCTTAGTGCATCTCCAGGGCTCTGAGGACTAGAAGCACTACTGATTGCTTTCTCTACTAGTAACTCCATAGCCTAAAAATAAAAACATAAAAAATGTGTTTAACAGCTTACAGACCAAACACCAGAATGACAAACTACTTAATAAAAATTAAAAATTTCAAACACGGAAAAAGTACATAGAACAAATCACAAAAACAGAAAATAAAATTGCATGTAATGGAAAAAAATTAAGTAAAACAATAAAAACAACTCATAAAGCAATATATAATTTATTTTTTAAAAAGATTTTTTAACTTCTTTTCAGAAATTTTTTATTGATTAATTTTAGAGAGAAAGAGGATGGGAGGAAGTGAGGGAAGGAGAAAGAGACAACAACCTATTGTTCCACTTATTTATGCAGTCACTGGTTGATTCTTGAATGTGCCCTTACATGGAATTAAACCTTTAACATTGGCATATAGGAATGACACTCTAACCAACTGAGCTACCTAGTGAGGGCTACAATTTATTCTTAATAAAGAAAAACATAAAATAGATTATTAGGGTTTTGTTTTTTTTTATTGTTTAAATAACTGCTATCCTTTCCTATTAAAAAAGGACAGTCCTTAAAATTCTTTAGATATTTAGGGCTCACATACATTTATTCTGTTATCGTAACAGGGAGTTACAGGAGACCAATCTTCTACTAAGTAGAGAAGATTTTTGTTTTTTCTTTACAATGTACATTATCTAAATTTTCATTTAATTCACAACTGAACTTCAATTATCCTTGAGAAAAATACAAATTATGCTTTCATTGTAAATTATATTTGAGAGACTTAAAATCTAAACTAATGAATAAAAGACAAAAGTAAAAATATAGATTTAGAAAGCAGATAACCCAGAATTATTCTGAAGGGCCTATTAGAAAATCTGATTTCATTTAGATTTTAAAAATTGAGATATAATTCCCATGATAATATTCCCTTTTAAAGTTTACAATTCAGTGGATTTTAGTATACTTACAAGTTGTCCAACCATAACCACTATCTAATTCCAGAACACATTAATCACCCACAAGAGAAACTCCTTACCCATTAGTAGTCATTCCCCAGTCTCCCTTTCCTCCATCTCCCTGGTAATGACTAAATCACTTTCTATTTCTATAGATTTGTCTGTTCTGGATATTTCATACAAATGAAGCCATGTAAAATGTGGCCTTTTCTGTCTGGCTTCCTTCACTTTGCATAATGTTTAAGGTTCACCCATACTGTAGCTTTTACCTTACATTTTAAATAAGACCACCAAAAACAAGTCAAAGAAAGTAAATAGACTAGAAATACAATAAAATCCCGAAAATAATATTGAAGCTGAAAATACCTTAGTGAGAATCCATTTTTAGTTGCCTGCTTAAAAAGCTCATAGATTTAATCAGAGGTAAAAAACTATGTCAAGTTATTCACGCCAAAGCCATTACTCAGATGTTTTAAATAAGAATTTTAAAATGTTTGGACACGTGAAGACTGTAGTCCCAAATAAATTAGGAATAAATTATAAGAGAGATGGGAATTTAAAGTGACACATTAAAGAGTGCACATCAACAGTAGTAAAAAAATGTCTGCTGGCAGTATGAGAGATTGGGGAAAAAAATTAAAATGAATGTTCATAATGATAAATGTAAATCAAACTAAAAAAAAAAAAAAAAATCAGGATATTCAGTTTACCCAGTTCAAGAATGCAGAAGATACTCAAGACATTTTAAAAGGGGTTTCATTTAAAAATTTCAGTGCTTTGTAAGGAATCAGCTTCAGTTTTCCATACAATTCTATGAATGTGTAATAAATATTTCTTTACCAAACAAATCAAGTATTATTTTAAGACGTCCAACAGACTGTGAAATCCTGAGGGATAAGGTCAATGTCATATTTTGAACCCCTCTGCTTAGCATAAATGGCCAGCATACAGAAAATATTTGATAAATATTTGTGAAATGGAATACTTTTGGAAAGAAAGTAAAAATAATTCTGCTGACAAAAGAAACCAAGGGTAATAAGCAAATTACTTACTGATGTTGAACTTAAATATAAAATTGAAGTAATAAAATATGCCACTTTCCATAAATACCTAAACTTTTACTAAGTACCTTTAGAGAATGTTAAGAGAAAAATAAGTATTAAATAATCACCTATAATCTGTATGTCAAGATAGAGAATATGTTTCAAGTAATTCAAAGCCTTTTCAGCCCAGCTGGGGTGGCTCAGTGGTTGAGCATCGACCCATGAACCAAGAGGTCACTGGCTCAATTCCCGTCAGGGCACATGCCTGGGTTTCGGGCTCAGTCCCCAGTGGGGGGTGTTCAGGAGGCAGCCAACTGATGTTTCTCTCTCTCTCCCCCCCCTTCCTAAAATCAATAACAAACATGTAAAAAAAAAAAAAAAGAAAGCTTTTTCAAAATCTGCTTATTGGGAATTTGTGGGAAGTGGGAATTTGTGATTTCTACTTGCATACAAAGGTAGATAGAAACTAAGACTCAAGAGAGAAATTAATTATTTACGGAAAACAATAAGTCAATATATTTAGACATACAATGAAACTAAAAAAATCTGACCTCTGAGAAAATTTGCTATGAAGCAAGCAATTTAAAAATATGTTTTCTATAGAACAGGGTTATTCTCCAAGCAGATATCTACAGTTAGAAAAGCAACAGCAGTAGAATATATGTGGTTTTTAAACTCTGAAATATATATGTTAAAAAGTAAAAGTACAACATCAAAGATGAAGAATTAAATTAGGGAAATGATATTTAGGCTGTAATGTAAAGGATCTTGGTGGCTTAAGTTATTTAAAGAGAAAAGCTCTGCATATTAAATGATTTGAAATCAATGATTGCAATATTTGTTTTAAAAAACAGTCATGAAGCATGTATTATCCTCAGTACTATTAACAACAATAATGCTTACTAAATTAAATGGCAGGCACACTGCGAAGCACTTTAAATGCATGATTTCATTTAATGTACATAACTAGATGTTATTATACTACAATTTTAAAGATTAAAAAAAGAAAACAAAGAGGTTAAGTAGTTTGTCTAAAGTCATACAATTATAAGGTAAAAAGACTAGGATTTGAACCCAGGTCTGATTCAAATCTTGTTTTTTTTAACTACAGCTATATTTCAATAAATATCCTTTTCTAGTTCTCGTAGAGGTCAAAAGTCATAAAAAAACCCCTACAAAACCACCCACAAAAGCCGGTGAGATTGTGGTGACACAGGTATTTTCATTTGGTAGGAATATAAACTGGTAAAACTTTTTTTAGCACACAACTGGCAAGCTCAAAGGCACATACCAGCAATGTCAATACTAGAGATTTACAATAGGGCTTTTATACTTAAATGAATGCATTAAAATATTCAGTGCAACTGTTTATCTGTAACCAACTGGAAACAAAAGAAATATTTAACACTAGGAATTCTGGTTAAATAACAGTAATAGGAGCAGTTATCTTCTTCACCATTGTAACTTATTATACACTAAGCACTGTCTGAGCATTCCAGACCCAATTTTAATCATCACAATCACTGTTAGGAGACAGATATGACTATTATTCCTATTTTACAAATAAAGATGTTTATGTTATTAAAGTAGGACTTTATGAGTACCATTACAACAAGTTATTGTATATACAAAAATCATTTCTATATTCCAGCTGACACAGGGTAATATTGATACATGCACAACAGACTTTCATTCCTAAATCCATTTGTAGGATGTTATTTATATTTGTGTATTATATTGATACACAAAACCTTATTTTATACTCAACAATTCTTCATAAAAACTGTCAAGTCTTGCGGGGGAAAAAGAGTTTATTCATAACTATTGGTGATTTGGGAGTGCGTGGGTAGGTACTTAGTTTTAGTTAAGGGACAGTTAAGTGCTGAGTTACTACTATTTTTAAGCTAAAGTGAATGAGATGTAAGCAAAGAGAATGTTAGTTATTTGTCCTGAGTTATCAGTGTGCTATCATTTAAAAACTTTTCATTGGTTCTAAAAGTGACACACAAGAACTCTCTTGCTATAAGCCACCACCACTAAGTCTAAATTATTTGTATCTATCTAAAACACTCTTGAAAAACCAGTAAAATATTTGTAAAGAAATGTTAAATCACATATTTCAGTTGCTGTTTGGACAGAAAGTATAATTACGATATTTCTCTCAGCCTATTCTTTGATAACTGTTCTTTCACATTTGACAGATCATTCTTAAAAACAAACAAAAAAAGTGAGGCCCTCGCTGGGTAGCTCAGTTGGTTGGAGCATCGTCCAAATATGCAAGGTTGCGGGTTTGATCCCTGGCTAGGGCACATAAAAGAAACAACCAATGAATGCATAAATAAATGGAACAACAACAACAAAACAAACAAGAGAACAAGTGAGGTAAAATTCACATAACATAAAATTAACTATTTTAAAGTGAATAACTCAGTGGCATTTAGTACATTCCCTGTTTCACAACCACCACCTCGGTCTAGTTCAAAACATTTCCATCACTTCAAAGTAAAGTTCCTTACACCCAGTAATAAGTTTCTCCCCACTCCCTCCTTCCCCAAGCCTATAGCAACCCCCAATTTGCATTCTGTCTCTATGGATGTCTACTCTGAATATTTCATACAAATGCAATCATATAATGTATGATTTTTGTGTGTCTGGCTTCATTCACATTTTGGAGGTTCATCCATGTTGTGACAGACCTTTTTTTTCTTTTGTAAAATATTCCTCACTGTAATATATACTGTTTAGAAATACACAATAAACATTCAAAAATTAACTATTGCTTTTTTGTAAATTACAGCAGGTATACTATTTTAAAGGAGGTTTAGATACTACAAAACAATTCTGATGTCAAACCAACCTTACACTAGGAACGCTACCTGTATTTACTTCATCACCATGGATTTAGGACAAAAAGAACAACTAATTTGAAGGCAGAGTACTACTTTCAGTACTCATCAGTGGTCAAAGAAGAGCTTAAAAGCAGGCATTGTTACTTAAGATTTATTCAGATAAAGTAACCTGAATGCTAAAGTAAAA